TTACATTGAAAAAAATACTAATTCAAAACTGCCCCAGGCGTGTTCAAGGCTGCCCCGACTACGGGGCAGTTTTGAACGTTTACAGGTCTGTGCAAAAATCGAAATATCTCAATAAGCGTTCATGAATAATTAAGAAGAACATCATTATTTTGTTGTGTGATAACCATGACCTCTATCTAGGAAGAAAAAATTAATGAAATCGTTCAAATTTGGAAGATATTCAATAAAGTATGAAAATTGTTCAAAGCTGCCCCCCTCTCCCCTATTTATGTTATGTTATTTAAGTATTTTCATATNTTGCCTTAGGGGCCTAACAGCATTGGTTCAGTGCTTGCTTTCGGAGCCTAATAGCATCTGTTCAATGATTGCCTTTGGGGCTTAACAGTCTTGGTCTAGTGCTTGCCTTAGGGGCCTAACAGCATTAGTTCCGTGCTTGCCTTAGGGGCCTGCCAGCACTAACTCAGTGGTTGCCTTCGGGGCCTTGCCACTATCGGGCCACTCTCTTCCTTGAGAGGGGATGACATCTTCCTTGGACATCGTGGTGACAAGGCGTGATGTACGAGGACCGCTGCGACGTGGTGGTGGAGCCTGCAGACGCTGCTCCAAATGTTATCTTCGGAGGACCGAAGATGTTGCAGGATGGCCGAGTTGTTAGCGGGTTAAATCGAATCTACGCATTCCATCACTATTCAATCGATGACCCGTGCACTTCACTACGATCTGTCACTTGACTTTCGGTATTTTCGCGCGTATATTAATGCTAAATGTTTTAATGTTCAAGTTTGCTAATAAATGTGGTTAATAAGTAAATTCAGTCTTTATACTGCATAGTAAATATTGCATACTTCAGAATAGTATTGTATGACATTATTGTCAATTTACAACGAAGGCATCTTGGTAGAGTCTACTGTGTCCATTTACTTGCAACTACATTAGCAACTTTGTTCAGTTCAGTATTATGAAAATCTTGTTTTATACTTTTTCACAGTCGTTTTTTGCANTTTATACTAGTCATATACTTACTTACGTAAAGAATCGCAGCTATTAAATTATTTTCTACATTCGACATGTTAATTGTTTATAACAAGAAACACAAGTGTATTAAAATATGTGGTTTCAGACAGGCCTGTGTTTAAAAACTTTCGGCACTAAAATATCCCTTATTTTGTTAGTTTACAATGTAGTACACTGAAAACGCTTTAAACGCTGCAAACACTTTAGACGTCTATTGAAACCACATTTCTTCCAAAAAGTAAAAAAATGCTTATTTATTTCATAATAATCACTGGCTGGTTTTACATTTATTTGAAAAAAAAAACTTAAGTAGGTACGCATTCGAATTTTAAAATTGGTAATCACGAATCCGTCGCGCTCGAGCGGACGGTCCAATAAACGAAATTATGCACTCAAAGTAGACTCGGGGATTGAGTTCAATTAACTCATCCTTTACTGAGAATGAACTGAAAGCATACAAAAAGTTTCATATTCGATTTATGCTGAAAAACCCATTTTTATATGGCTCAAAGTAATTTTACAGGTGATGAAATAATTTTGGAATCAAATTGCTTTTCAGATGGGTTTTTAACAGCCTTGTTAGGTATTTCGTATCTGGTAACGGTCACATTTTATAGACGCAATTGTAAAATATTATCGTATTATGTTTGTGTGAATATTGAAATCACACGTAGCCAACGTGTGTGTGACCAATGAGGATCAGTACTGTTGTAGAAAATTCAATAAAACTAGTATCTACGTTAATCTTTAAGACATAAGAAAGATATATCTTTTTGAATTATCCAAATCGGACCATTACTTACGAAGATATTAAGTAATAAACATAGGCCGTTTTTGCCGCTAAAAGTCAACGTACGCAAGGCCGCGTGACGTCATTATATCCGAATCGAGCGCAGCCGGCGTACTAATGGGATGGAAAATATTTTTTTCCGGCTAAACTATCAGTTTTAGAAAAAAACTTTTAATAACATTTATTCTTCAAAATAAAGTAACCTATCGACCAGTAATTTTTAAAAATAAAAATTGTGAAAAATAAGTATTGCTATGTACACTTTATTTGAATAAATCGCCAAATATACCACCGCGGAGACCCCAATCGCGTCTCTGCGTGCCATTGAATCGTATGAGCGTATGGATTTTTTGCGTTATTTTTCACAATTTCCATTTTTAAAAATTACCTATCGATAGCTTACTTTATTCTGATGAATAAATGTCATTACAAGTTTTTCTCTAAAACTGATAATTTGGCTAGAAAAAAATATTTTCTATCCACGCAGTACGCCGGCAGCGTTCGGATCGGATATAATGACGTCATCGTCCCCGCGCCGGGCGGTCAGTGAACTTTTTTAGTAATTTGGCCATAACTTCGTCAATTTTTGTCGTAGAACAAAAATTTTTGCACTGTGTATTAAGGATTTCTTAGCCCTATAAATCTGCATTCACAGCTAAAAATCGAAATGATCCTCATTTCATTTAACATTTTCTTACCTTACTTTTCTTATTGGTAGAAATTCTGTATACATTTAAAAAGCTTCTTTATTAAAGAAACTGTTATTATTTAATACACAAATATAATAATTTTGGTACCATCAAAACATTCCTTAACCGCAGTCTCACACTATTAGCTTCATAATTTTTTTTAGACCTAAGAAGAATCTTACTAGATATTGTGGGGTATAGAATCAAAGGCAGCTAAGGCATGATTTTAAGTACCTGTATCCCCAAGCCTATTACAGTTGGAATCAGACTTGATTGCAACGAACTAGAAAATTGCACTCATTCAGCACTAGTAAATAGTCTTCAGTCAATACTTCACGGTGATTTGGTAAAAAACCTTAAGAGATTGGACTCCGCTTCGATATAAAGCTTTTTATCAAATCACCGATTGAGAGCTTTTAAGCTTCTGCATACCGCAATTTATGGAATAAAATTGCAAAGACCTTTAATTTAAGTTTTTGATGAATAATTTGCATTCCATTTCAATTTCACAAGGTAAGCTTTTTAACAAAGTCAGCAATTTTTCATATTTGTCAGGATTTCAATATTCGAGAAATAAATATTTCTCGTGGTCTCAAATTATGAGCACCTAAGGTGGATGAAAATTTTCTCTAACTGGATGAAAAAATAAAAAGTTAATTTCTATCAAATATCATGAATATTTTACACAACTTTTTTTCCATCTTTAAAGTGATTACTTACAAACAACTTTTATTAATCAACTCACTGAAATCTTCTGCAGACTGACGTTACTTGCATATCTTTTTATTTCCATTTCAATTACCTAAGTGGTTCTTATTTCCAAGAACTCTGCATTACCAATATCCAAGTAAAAAACTCAAGATTGATATGAAAGTGAATATCAAAAGTTGTTGGAACTGCAACGAACGAAGGAGCTCTCTTCATTTATTTAAAGTAGCGCAAAAGTTGAAGTAAACTGAAATTCACGTATTACTCTTGAATTTGAAATACTACTTTTGTTTTTCACTTCAATGCTTTTTTTGAAATGTTTACATAATAAGTAGGTGTACTCAATGTGTGTGTTTATTTATTTATCAGTATATTTATTTTTGGTCAACAATTTTAGTGGCCAAGTTTCTTCTTTTCTTTCATTTTATTTGATTTTTTTTTGTATTTTTCCTTTTTTGACTTGTTTTTAAGCATTTATTTCTATGGGTTCTATATTGGCTCACATAAAATTCTAAATCCTATTCTTTGTCTTACTACCGATTTGTGTTCATTATAATCTCTCTTCATAATTTTATTTTTCATACTTTTTTTATTCATACATTTTTATTACTACCATCGGAGCTCATAACAGTTAGTAATCATAATTTTTTTATCAATAATGTTACTACCAAGAACCATTTAAATACATAATTTTTATTTTCAGATCTTTTTTCTTCATAACATTCATTGATCATATTGTTTTAATTAATATCATAATCATCATAATGTAAAAGTGCTTTTTTTAAGCCTATTTACAGAAATAAATGAGTTTTAGTTTTTTAGTTTTAGTTTTTTAATGTTGTTACTACTAAGAACATACTTCAACTCATAATGTTGTTGTTCAGAATAATTTACTTTATAACAGACATACTCGTATCTTTAAAAAATCATATATAATTTAATAGAGTAAATAACCATGCAGAGCATGCAGCATGAAAGCAAGCATGCAGCATGCATTGGTATCTCCTCGTCTCCGGCGCTGCGGGATGTGCAGCCCTTCCGCCCTTGCGTAACGAGGTTCAGGCGCCCACGCTTGCTTCCGCAGCTTCGGCTTTTTGGATCGGCATCGGCGCCTTCGGCGCCTCGGCGACCAGCCTCAGCCGCTCCAGCTCACCCGGGCGCCCGAGCTTCGTTACAGCGGGCGAGGGCTGCCCTCCCTCCGCGCCTCCGGCTTTTAAATTACACTCTAGGGGTAGGGCAGACAAGACTACGTGGAGTCGGTTTTGCAGCGATTCGTTTCTGTCACGTTAGTTTTGTGGCACAAAATATTGCCTGTTTGGACCATTTCAAGTTAATTTCATGTTAAAATACGATTTAATACTAATATAGACATCATGATTTTGACATGATTTTGACATGATTTAGACATGATTTAGACATCATGATAAATACACTTATGAGTAATAAATTTCTGAAAACAAATATTAGGATACATCACATTTATGAATATTATAGTTATTTATTCGAATGATTATGAGTTTCGATCATTAGTATAGAAAAATATATGAAAACAAATATTAGTAAAAACGAAGTGTATGATTCGTGATATTATGAATATCAATGATTATGTTTTTAAATATGTAGGTTTTAAATTTTTTATGAAGAATGATCATTATGGTATCAAATTGTATGAGAAATATTTTCCGACCTCCAATGATAGGAATTGAAAAGTTATGTAAGAAAATGCGCTACCATTTCTATGTACAGATATTCGACCGCTACAATTTTATTATATGTATAGATTATGCTCCCAGATTTTTTTTATTAAAAAAAAAAAATTTTCGTGTTTTTCCTCTCTGCTATTTTATCTCTGACTTAAAATAATTCTTTTAGTGAAAAATTTTACTGAGTAGCATGACGATGCACTAAATCTCTTTCGTGATACGATTTCAATACAACCATTACCATCTATTTCTTTCACCCATATCAGCACCCTGATGAGAGGAAGTGAGACGGGTAGAGTTCGTCGCTTTTCCAAGTCGACCTTTAGATTTTTGACGTCATGCATTCACTTACCCTGATTGGCTGAAGCAAAAAAACGATGTTGGATGCAAGTTAACGAGATTTTAAACTAATGTTAGTGCTCGAGTTAACGACGTTTACCGTGATTATGTGATTTTGAAGTGCGGCTAAGTACGGGTAAACAATGGGACTTTTTCTGAGTATTGTATAAAGAATTTGATATAGGTACATACTTATTTCTTATTCGTTTTAAGAAGAATAATTTATGAAGAAGATAAGTATGTCATAAAGTTTAAGGTAGAATAGAGCTATTCCCACTCTTCCTACAGATATCGTGAATGGTGACTAAGGATATGTGAAGCAGGTCTTAAGGCCATGATTTCCCAAATTGTTGATATTTGACCGATTTTGTTTGCAGATAGCTTCTAAATGAAAAGATATTTTAGCAAACAAAAA